GGTGAAGTCATGTTTTCTTATAATAAAGTATGCTCCTTTTCTCATTTTTATTCTTTTTTTTTTTTTTTCTCATTTTTATTCTATGTAGCTGAACGTCTTTTCCAGCCACAAGATTCCCAGTCTCCAACAGATACAACAGAAAAAGGCACCAAAGGTAAACTTTCTGCTGTATTTTTTTTCTTCCACAAATATGGCAACTCTTAATGCTAATGAGAAAAAAGTGTTTTTAATGTAACTTGTTTGATCTGTTTGATTCTGACTCTTGAATCTGTAGAGACACTTCCTCCATCAGCAATATCTACAGAAAGCCTGGCTGAAGTTCGCCCACCCTCCATTTTATCATCAACAGTGAAGGACATGGCCTCATTAAAAGTGTCACAACAAACTGACCCAGATGCAACAAACACAACTGACTTTGTTAAGACAGCAATTCCAGGTGATCCGCTGAATTCCAAAAAAACTGATAAAACTCAAACAACTAAGAACTTTATGGAAACCTTATCTGTCAGTACCACATCTGAATATGAACACTTAAARCAGAAAGGGAAGACTCCGTCTGTGAAAAGTGATTCAGTAGTAACTCAGACATTGACAGGTGAGATGAAATCCCTTGTAACTCCTTCAACACCCCTTTATATACCAAGAGAAGAAGCTGATACAATGAAGATACCAACAATCTCAATAACAGGACAATCCAATGTGACTGCATTGCACAATGATGTCACTCTCTCTTCTTATGATGATGATAGAGAAACTGCATCACAAACGAGTGCATATAGTCCTACTAATATTGAAAAGGAAAAAACTTACAATACCACAGCTACAAACCAAGACAGAAAACTACATGAAATATCAACACTAGCATCCACGTTATACAGTGCATTTGAAAATGTAAAGGAAACAACGGTGTCAGTGACTCAATTTTTACACCAGCAACCATCCAAAAAAGAATTAGTTACAACTGGATTACCAGGCAAATATGTGAATGCAGATGAAAGTTTAAGAACAACTGTTGCTGCAACTTTGTCAGTTAGCAGCACAAAAAAAGCAAAATCAGTGACTGATGAAACACAGAAAACACAAAGCATTCCTACAAGTGAGGAAAAATTGGTAACACCAGAGGAACGTTCAATGTCTGTAACTACAGAAAAAACTAGATCAGTTGAAGACATCACTGAGATGTCCAGTAAACCATCAGCAGTTTCTAAAGCCTTTTCTTTGTTCAGCACAGAAATAACAACAGCATCAACAGTAAAAGAATATGACAGTGTTCACACAGACCAGTCCATGGTGCCCACAGTTTCTCCAGTTTCTGATAAGACTGAAAGATTGTCTGCCAGTACTTGGGTAATTACAGAGGGTTCAGGAAGCCAAACACCAGACATGTTTACGTCAGGAGAAGCATCATCCAAACTGTACACTACTGAGACGCCACCAGCAGAGTCATCTAGGACTACAGACGGAAGAGAATTGAAGGAAACATTAGTGCCATCTCTGATGGAGGAACCAACGGTTTCTCCAGCATCAGATAGTATAGCCTCAAGCCCACCAAGTATATCTCTGAGTGTGTCTCCTGTTACATCATCCACTTCTTCAACTGCAAAAGAGGATGATTTTAAAAGTCAATCTACGTTTGTAGATTCCACTTTACTC